CGCAGAGGCCCAAAGGGGTTGGGACGGCACGTCCGGCTGCCCTGCGAGCGGGCTGGGGGTTGAGGAGGATGCCGCACCGGCAAGGGTATGTGTTAAGCTATAAGCCCTTCTGCCCGCTAAGAAACTCTGCTAGCTTAATTATATAGGGTGGACCTTAGAAGCGCTTTTTCCATTGCTCCTGAAGCACGTCGATGCTTTTGCAAGTCTCAGGCAGTATGTAATGGAATTAAACTGCATCCTTTTCTGGCGGTGAGGTGTGCTTGGAGCTCTGAGACACAAAGGGATCAGAAAGTCCAAGTGCTGACAGAAGAAGGGTGATACTCTGGTCTGAGGGGATTTGCGGTGAGTTTCACAGAATCATATAATAGTTTAGGTTGGAAGGAACCTTAAAAATCACCTAGTCCCCCCCCCCCTGCCATGGGCAGGGACACCTCCCACCAGCCCAGGCTGCTCAAAGCCCCATCCAGCCTGGCCTTGAACACGTCCACAGGAGGGGGCATCCACAGCTTCTCTGGGCAACCTGTTCCAGTGCCTCACCACCGTCAGAGTAAAGAATTTCTTCCAAATACCTAATCTAAATCTACCCTCTCTCAGTTTGAAGCCATTACCCTTCATCCTATCACTACGTGCCCTTGTGAAAAGTCCCTCCCCATCTTTCTTGTAGGCCCCCTTCAGATCCTGGAAAGCTGCTATAAGGTCTCCCGGGAGCCTTCTCTTCTCCAGGCTGAATAACCCCAACTCTTTTTTTTTTTTCTTTTTTTTCCTGCCATTGCCTGCAAGAGAACTGGGATTTCACAGCCCCAGAGTTCTTCTGTTGGTGGCTTTGCACAAACAACAACAACAAAAAAGTCACGTTAAGGATATACACAGGTATCCTGGAAAACTTAAGAATATCAGTCAGAGATTCCAGGACCTTGACATGTAAACATTTGTCCTGTATTAGCCCTTTGAGGAATACTGCAGTGTGGTATTAAAGTTGGTGAGTGATGATGGTCGCATCATTGTAAGTTACTGATAAGATTACATGGAGAATCCTTTGCTAATATCAGCTTTTCAAAACTTGTATTCCTGGTGGGGAACACTGACCAACAGCAGGAGGATGGCAGTTGTATAAATTAAAGTTGAACAACGCAAGTGGAAAGAATGTAAGCCTTATGTTTAGAATTTTTTTAGGATGTTTTTGTCCGAGTTTGGTTGGTCTCACTACCTCAGAAGAAATTTACTGTTGTGCACAATAATACAGTTTCTCATACAGATTTTCTGTTGCAAGTGGAAAATTTGTACTTGGAGGCATAGAGCGGAAAATATTATTGAGGCCAGGGTTCTGGTAGCACATTATTTTAAGCTTCTTGCTTATTTATTATTTAATAATGCACAAGGCCATAAATCAGAACAGCACTTTATGAGCTTGAAGCACCTCTCAACTTCTGCCTGAAAGATCTAAAGCAGACTAGAAAACCAGACAAATACCAGAGATGAGACCATAAAATGCAATGGGGGAGGTGGACCTCTTCAGTCCTCAAAAGTGCTGATCCAGGTATGTTGGGCATCACTTTGATGCTCCCCTCTGCCTTTCTTCCCTCAAACTTTTAGTGATCAGTGTTAATTTTAGGTTGAGGCCCTTTAAGGTCATTCAAGCCAGTATGAGAGTGTTAAAACAACAAAACAAACACAATACCGCTCTTGGTACTAACAATTCAAGTTTGGAACTGCTGAATCTTAAAATGCTGCCATAGTGTGGATCATACAATCAACCTGTTGTCCAAGCAGCTCATCAGCCTTTGTGCCACTGCTCCAGGAGCAGGAAGGTGCCTGACAGGAGCCTGGCAGGAGCAGTCTATATTGTCTTGCTTGAGCGAGTTCAACTGTGCATTGATGTTAATGTGGCACCACATTGAGCTGCACACCCACCTTCCTGTTTGTGAAGAACAAATACAAAATGAAGGCTTTTCAACCCCCTTCTTGAGGGTTGAAAAACCCAGCACGTCTTTTGAACTCAGTGCTTTTTCCAAAAGTATCTTGTCTTTTTCTCCGTGCAGTTCTCTGGTTCATAGGAAAGCCAAGGGCTACGTGCTATATTTATGAAGATAATTTGTTGTGGATGGACTGTGTCTGGTGTCCTTATTGTGTAATATTTGCACTTGTCATTAGAGAAGTTTATGTTCTGATAACTGTGCTTACTTAACACAGGATACCCGCGGCCTTTTGGGTTTACAGATATCTTCACTAAACAAATAATCCAGATGATGCTATCCAAACAAAAGATTCAAATGCCAGTTTTCTTATCCCTCATATTAATATTTAAAAATTAAAAATGAATCTGGAAGTTAACAACCCAAACACTCAGGAGAGATTGGAAGAACATCTCTGCAGAAATCGGTTTGGACAGTGGAGTTATCAGAAGAACCTTCTCTCCTTCTCTGTGCTGGGGGATGTGAAGGAAGACAGAGATGTTTTACACAGTCCTGAAAGCCAAATGTACCCAATAAGCCCTAGAACAGATGAACATGCCCAGAATGCTAGGGCTTGCAGTGGGAGCAAGGTTTCCTGGAATCACTCTGTACTTCAGTAGGAAAAAACCTAACTCTCCCTCCTGAATGTTTTTTGGCAGTTTTAGGCAACAGATGTTGCCCGTGCAAGGGAAGACGTTTTGATCGTTGTGTTGTTGTGATTCTCCCCCAGGTGCTGAGGAATTTTAGTACCGTTCGGAATCCATTTCTGCCCTAACATGGACATGGTTCAATCGGCTTCCACAGAAATCACAATCGCAAAGAAATCCTTCAAGAAAATACCCAGTGTCCTTCTGGGCAGCCTAGTGGAGGAACCTAAAAAAAGACATGCTGTCCCCAATCACCTGCTGGAATCAAGTAAGTTTCTGCTTTCTGACTGTTCCCCAATCTTGGAGCAATCCTAGGAGACATCTTGCTTTTTTTTTTTTTTTTTCCTTTTTTTTCCCCACAACTGACAGGCAAAACGCCCATCCTGTCGCTTATTGCATCTTCTGTGAGCCCAAATCAGAGAAGAGGTAGTCAGGAAAGACATAGTGGCTATACTGATCCTGGCTGACCCTAAAGTTTTGGTGTGGCTCATTGAAGCCATGATGCTAAGAGATACACTGGTGACAGGATCATGGCTCTGCTGGGGTAGTAGCTGCTGCCTTAACTTTCCATTTAAAGAGTCATGCTTGCTTAACAGGAGAAATCACCTCTGTCTCATTTTTTTCACTATACTACTTTGGGTGCTACATAAATATACTTAATTAATGTAAGTAATAATCTTCATGTGTGTTTCACCAGGTCCCTTTTTCTCCCTGTTTTATTATCTATCTATGTAGAGATTTATTCCGAACTTCAGAGGAGCAAGGTTATACAGGCTGAGCCTGCTGTGCTGCACTATGGAGGGTATGAAGTTGGAAAACATCACCAACAGACACTGGTAAGTGTCAGAGCGGGGATCCTCTTGGGGCCTGTAAAAGTATAACAGAAGCTGAGTGTACAGCTTGTGGTCATGAGGCCTTTTGCTCTATGGAGTGCTCTAAAAAGCAGCACTTAAAATCAGTTGCCCTGCGGTAACAAAACAGACAAGTATCATGCTGTGTGCATCACTGTCCTTTACAATCTCTGTTTTACCTTTCTGTTTCCCATGTCTGCAAGCAGTGTTAGTGATACGTGACTTGCACGTCATGAATGAAGGATTCATGCTTTTTCAGACTGTTTTCAAAATGTACTTGGACTCTCACTGTCTGCAAACCTGTTCACTGGTGGGAAAAGTTTGAAAGCACCTCTGGCCTTCTGCCAAGAGCAATTTAATCTAAGGAAAGAAACTAGGTGCATAGGTTTGATTACCTTTCCTCGTGAATAGTTTGGGTATTTCCTTTTCTTCTCTCTGCTTTCCCTTTGTCTGCCTTCTTTATTCATGTGGTAAATGTTTTGAGGCAGAGGTTGGGTGATTATGGGGAACTAGGTTCTCCAGATGTAATGAGAGTAAACAAGATTCAGGAGGCTTTACAGGCTGAACTGTCACCATCCAAAGGTTTGTTGCTTTGTGATCCAAAACAAAACCATGGAATATTACATCATTTCTGTTGTTTCAGACCTCTGTAAAAGCAAAGTCAATAGGTTGTTTCATTTTTTGTTCCTTTTGCACATAAGGAAAACAGGACCAGAATTTGATTCAACAGTAGCGTCTTCTTTAGCAAGACTAACTGTTATTCCTAGGTAAGAAATTGTGACTTGGTTGCAAAGAATAAAAATGCAGGATGCAAGGTGTACTTAATTTTCTTTTAAATTCAGAGCATATTCAGAATTGTTTCTGCTAAAGTAAAAATTGCTACTTCCTTGTTTAATACAGCTTCTTTGCTATGGACGGTCTAACAAAAAGTAGAGTTAGCATTCTCAGCTGACCTCTTACATTGTAAAGTGTTTTGCGGTTTTGGTTTTCTTTTGTTCTACAGAAGCTGATAAATATTTCTGGTGATGTAATAAACCTTCACATAATACCACCCCAGACAAAGTATTTTCAGATCAAATACAACAAAACAGTAAGTGTCAGAAAGCCTTCACACTGGTCTTTGCATGCCACACTAGTTTTGTGTCATATAAGCAGCTTTTACATGCCTTTGATCTTATTTTGGGTCGTTTTCTAGCACCGGCTTGTCCCTGGCTTGTCATATGCAGTTACTGTTGATTTTTGTCCTGATGAGTGGCGATATTACTATGACTGCATCCGAATTCACTGTCAGGTGAGGATTTAATTTAAAATATATTTACGGTTGTAACGGAATGAAACAACTATTACTACATGATGATAATGTAAAGGTACGGTTAATCTAGGGCCACATGGCTTTATTCCCAGTAAGTCTGGATTGGAGTATTTAATTTTAAGCATTTAAAATTTTTCTCCCTGTAAACATACCGGAGCTGTGTGTAGAATATCTTCCTTATTCTGTTATTACTTGCCAGTAGAGCAGTCTTTGTGCCACACTGATGTAATGTCTTAGCTGAGGAATCTTGGAGGTGTTCTAGATAGTTGCTAAAAGTATGGAAAGACAGATGGATACTGAAAGCAGGTGGAATATCAGTATCCTGAGGTGCAACACAGTGATGCTCTTGAAGATGTTTTATGCCCACTTACTGGCCAACTACTACAGAAACTTTTTCTTTCCATAACATTTATTCATTGTAAGAAATAAATATTTACACACACACCCCCTTTTTTTTTTTCAGGGGGAAGATACATTAGTTGTTCCTGTGCATGCTTACCCTACTGTGAATGTTGTAGAATTTCCATCATTTATAAATCTGTCTGATGTATCAGTTGGTAAGAGGTGAGTTAAGGACAGACATTGGTCCACATTTTGTGAGACATGCACAAAAGCTGAAAAAATTTATTTTCCCCTATTTGTACAACTTAACATCTTGGAAGCTTTAAGGAAGTCAGCTACCATCTGGCCTGCAAAATAATTCCATATATGAACTGTTGCAAGCACACAGTGCACATTCACTTGAAAGTAAATGCTGTGCAAACTAAACATATACATAGATGGAACTGGGGTTTCAGTTAGTCTAAATCGATGCTGGCTCATGTTAGTCATCATATGGTGAAGTGACATGGCTGTTGTTCATAATCTGTACGTTCCTAAGTGCTATGTCTTTCAGTGTTAATAAGTCCTAAGTGAATGGATCTTCCTTTCAAGATGAAGCGTTCTGAAAATGAAGGCATGAGCTAGTAATGGCAGGTGTGATAGTAAATAGCTAACCTCAGCCCAGAGATTGATAAGTCATTATATTTGCTTCTTCTTTTTAAAAATATTTAAAGTGGGTTTCTGATGTGGAGCTCTAAATGGCATAGACTTTATCTTACTCTGTTGCATAGATGTGACACTGACTGTTCTTATGACGTAATTGATAACAATTGCTAATAGGAACCGGGAAGGGGAAAAGGAGAAGGGAGATCGTGTTAATTAGGGTCTAGTTCTGTAGTATATTGACTATACTAGTTGTAATTATGGTGATTTGTGTTAGTGTAAAGATTTGAGTGAATTTTAGGAACTGAAGGTCTTAGCAGTTAGGTTTTGTCTTAACCTGTGAGTTGGAAGTAACTCATGAATGTTACTGAAGCACAGAAATATGAATAGGCAAGGCACATACAAGGAAAATGGAAAAATTAAAAATGAATCCAGCATTATAGAATGAACATTTCTGTCTTTTTATGTGTTTTTCTAATCTCCCTTAATCTGTTAAACTGTAGAGAATCCATCAGAAGTGATGTTACAGCTTTCTCACAGGACTGAACATAACTCCTGACTTTCTGGGTGCCTCTAGGCATGATGTGATTCTGTGTATTTGCTCCATTTTTATAACAAGTGCTGAAGTTTACAGAGTTTTCATACTCTCACAATACAGAAAAGAGATTAGAGAGAGTACAAGATACAATTTTAAATAATGGGAAAATTTTTCAACATGACAGGGGTGCTCAGAGATGCCCCTGAGGGAATTTGGAAGAGCTCCTGAAGAGAAAACTGATGGTTTCAAACCTTATTTTTTACCAATATTCTTCATCGTTAGGTTATTAAAAACTTTCCTAAAAATGAAAGCTCTCTGAGATACTTGATACTGTACAGAACCCAAGGGAATATGGGCTTAATCCATAGCCCACTGAGGTCAGTGGAAAAACTGCATTTTACTTCCATAAGTGTAGAATAAGACCTATATTCTACCACCCAGCTTTCTGCTTAAGTACTGAAAGCCCATCAGGCAACAGGTGGCATAACTGTCTTGTATTTAAGGCACTTTGGTTACTGTACAAGCTGCACTACACCTTAAAACAAATTGCCTCCCCAGTCTGCTGTTACATCTTCTTCATGAACAGGTCATATAAAGGCAGAGAAAAAAGGACTTTGCTATTATTGTTTATTTCCTTAGGGATTTCAAAATGTGCTTTCCAAAGGAACACTGTGTATAACATGCATTCTTTGCTAATCGGCAGGATAGGATTTCAGTCAGACAGTTTACAAAAACCAGAAATAAGCCTGGGTAAATTGGTCTTGATTTGTAGGATGATGGATGGTGTTACACCAATGCTTTTGTGTTTCAATTTGATACGTAAAAATAGATGCCTGCAAAAGCAAGACAGCTCTAAAAGATGCATGCTAATACCCCTCACACAATTAGTGTGAGACATAAAGGGCTTTTATGAAAATCAGGCCATGGAATCATTATTTCTACGGTGGTTAAAGTCCAGTCATTCTGATGTGTTGGAGTTTTCAACACTTTTGAAGTCTGCACAGTCTTTTCTCATAGTCTTCCACAAGGAGGGCTGTGGGAGAAGGCTGATTTCTGGTTCTATACTTATGGTTGATCCAGTTTGGATTGTTTGTACATACTAGATATTGCAGTTTGTAAGAATTTGAGGATACGCATAAATAACTTTTAAAAAGTAAACTTTATAATTTTTTCTGTAATCAGATTCTGTATGGGTAGGAGAAAGTAAGTCAAGATGTAAAATATCCAGCATTCAAATCAAGATTTAGTTCTGACTTCCTCACCAAGTGAAAGAGCTGAAGTATTTTGCTATTTTGGAACAGTGATGAATGACTGTTTTCACATAAATAAGTAACCTGTCCCTCTGAACATGGATAAATTCAGTGCATGTTGTGTATAATATAATTTTCCAGCTTGTAATTGATGATCAACTGTACTTTCATTAATTTCATTCTTCCTTTCTCTCTTTTCAGTAAGGAGTATGTTATCCCGTTGCAGTGCAGCTGTCCAATAGATTTTGAATTCCACATTGATTTTATTCAGCCTCACAGAGCCTTCACTGTCCAGCCAATGTTTGGTAGATTGAACTTACTTAAAATTCTAAATGTTAGATCTGTATTCATTTGATGTAGTTACTTGTGACAGTGTATTCAGTGCTATACAGAAAAAGCCTTTGCCTCAGAGTGTTTCCAGGTAAATGTAGGCTGATAAATATTAGTCATATGCAGCCTCCTGTCAAATAGCTCTCTGTGGCTGGTAGATTTCTTTTGTCAATGCCCAGCTACAGACCTCTGGCAAAATATGGGACGTCCCAAACGGTCCATCTGGCCTTTGTCTTCTGTCTTTGCTGGTGTGGCCTTTGGAAAGGAGAGAGGGAGGAAGCCCGTCATTTATGTCTTTATCACACCTTTCCCCAAGGACTGTCTGGCTCCTGCCCCATTAAAGGAACAGGTATCTGTCTTTGTGGAATAGGTATGCATCATGTTACTTAATTGGGGGCACAGAGGAAATAAAAGGTGACCTCTGCTCTAGTAACCATATCCCTGTACCAGTTTTTCCCTAGTGGTCTGGAGGAATTCGATAAAATTGTGTCTGTTGCTTCAGGAGCCATTGCAGTGATGAGCACAAAGCACACTGCTGCAGGTGTTTCATGGGATGACAGTGGATATTAGATTCAGCCTAGGCCTCTGTGTGTGGGCTTTACCAGAGGCAGGGACTTTTGGCTACAGTATGCTCAGCTATTTTCATGCCTAATGCTGGAGAGGGCTCTGTCTTGAGGCAGGCATAACTATTTGCAGGTCAGTTGCTTTCATTGTTATGTTTGCCAGGTGCCGGCAGAGGCGTGTAAGTGCCAGGTGTTGTGACAAAAATGTGTAAGTGAATGAGACCTGGCTGGGTAATTCACTTAGGCAGTCTGGTCAATTCCATGAAAACACATAAAGATCTAAATAAATAAAAACCTTCATAAATATGGTGCTTAGTGCCATTTGTGACAGTGGAATTTAAACTTTGATTATTTATACATTTCAATAAAATTTGCTGTTGGTCCTGTATGTCCAATGATATGAATTTGCCCTGTCTTAGATGGATTTTCATTCTCCAGAGGTAGTAGTTGGATTCTATCGGATGTGTGGTTCACAAAGATGAACTATGCTTCTGCCTTGTTTTGGGTCATTCTTTCAGGATAATATTCTTTGTTACTTTATGGTTAAAGAAGTTTTGCTATATCAAGGGAGGAAAGGAACAATATTACAATTGAGTAAAATTAGCGAGAAGTAAAATTCATCAGGAAGTTTTTGGGTTTTTGCATGGTCGTAGACACAGTGGCAGGAACTAATTTATGCTTTCTAAGTTGGCTTAGTTCTTGGGAGAAAGGGGAACAAAAATATCCCAGAAAAAACATCAACCCAAGAAAAGTTAAGTGAGAAACTTTGGTAGCTAGAAACTCTGGTAGCTAGAAACTCTGAAGTGCTGAGGGCCATCTGAAAAGCACTAAAGTTTCAGCTTCTACTCAAGCCATTGTGCTCCGAGATCAGTAATGATGAAATACTGAAATTCCACACACACACACAAAAAACCCCAACAATGAAACTAACTGGTGTTTAAAACTACATGATGCAGAAAACAAGGCAATGGTCACTTTACAGAGATGTGATATTGTTATTTCTGATGAGCTGAATAAACTCCTTGTTGCAGAAATGGTGAGGAGCATCAAGGCCTGTATCCTGGGATTGCACTGAATGTTTAGGGATATGAAGGCTGGTTAAAGTGGTTGAGAAAATAATGGGATAGGTAATAAGGAAATAAGATCAAGTAGAGACACACAGAAGCACAGAAGCACAGAATGGTCAGGGTTGGAAGGGACCTCTGGAGATCGTCTAGTCCAACCCCCCTGCCAGAGCAGGGTCACCTACAACAGGTTGCACAGGACGGCGTCCAGGCGGGTTTTGAATGTCTCCAGAGTGGGAGACTCCACCACCTCTCTGGGCAGTCTGTGCCAGTGCTCCACTACCCTCAAAGTAAAGAAGTTCCTCCTCATGTTAAGATGGAACTTCCTATGTTCAAGCTTGGGCCCATTACCCCTCGTCCTATCACTGAGCACCACTGAAAAAAGACTGCTCCCATCCCCCTGGCATCCTCCCTTTAAATATTTGTAAGCATTAATGCATCAAATCCAGATGGAAGATCACAAAGGAATATGTTTGTAATGCTTTGCTCATGAAAGCAGGAAGTACCAGAGACTTAAGACTGGCAGATGCAAGTGAAGAATTTCTACTGATAAACAGGCAATCATTTTCACAACAGTAGGAAATATTATAGTCTTACTGTCAAATCTCTCTGCTATTGCAAAATATCTGCCATTATCTGGCAATGGATAGTTCTTGAAAGACACTTTGTGACCTGAAATATTTTCCAGGCCTAGTACCATCCATTCAAACGTTAATATGGTTTAAAAAATATGTAGTCCAGAATCAATTTCAGCATACTTACATGGGCTCACGTTAGATGGACTCTTACTGATTTTCTCCTCTCATCACAGGAATCATTCCAGGCAATGGGAAAGTGGAAGTAACTGTGAAATATTCTCCACTTGAGTATGGAACAGCACAAATGACAATGCAGTTACAGATTTCACAGTTTCACTCAAAACCCTATGTATGTGTATTCACAGGAACATCAACACCACATCTGGGTTTAATGTATGTGTGGCTGACTGATCTTTGAGTATTTTTGCTCTGTGCTAAAAAATACCTGTGTAATAGGATTTCATGCCATTTTGCTGTAACCATTTTAAGCATTTGTATCTACAGAGACTTAAAATGCAGTAATGTAATTCAACTGTTAGTGCATGTACCTGCTCTCTTATGTCATTTGCTCAGAATGCCCCTAATCTGTATGAAGTGAAACTCTACCCAAATGAAAATAATTATGAAAATGAAAATACTTATCCTTAAAGAAGTGTTGAGCATCCTCAGCTTCTGTTATGCCTGCTCTATGTTATTCGTATTGCTGAGGCCTTGCAAGATACAGAGTTTTTTGAGCAATAAGGTCTTTTGGGCTGTACTTAATTTTTTGTGAACTCTGAAGATTAGAAAGTTTGGTTCCAGTTACAATGTGGTAGAGAAAATTCCAGTCTCCTTGTATATCTAAAGGGGATGTAAATGCATGTACTAGGCTAATATGCCATTTACAGAGTACTTATAAGAGCAATATCTGTCCTTCCAACACCTAGAAAAGAACATTTTGACAAACAACGAAGTCGTCCAGAGAAAAAAGCTGTGTCTGCAGGAAAATCTGTGGTATGGAGAAGAGACCACTTCAGCCAACCACAATCAAGGCCTATTCAAACAGTAAAGGTGTGAAGAGATAATAATCACAAGTACTTTTCTGGGCTGAAAATCTTTCTTGTTTATATTTCTTCCTATTAATTTATATCTCATAGGAAATTGAATACCAGAACCTCAGATTCCCCACAGACTTGTCAAATCCATATGCTGTAGCTACTGTTTTGAATCAGGAACCAGGCAAATTGAAGATTAAGGACTTGAAAGAAGGTAATGTAATTAAGCAGCATAAACTTGGTTTTAGCATTATTTGTATGTTTCTGATGAGAAACTCGGCTTCAGAATTGCTGAGGTGATGTGATTGTAGTTTCTGTAAGAAATCTCACCTTAGCTTTATGTATTAATGAGTTGTTATCATAATGGGTGGATTTTGCAATTAAAAATTCAATCTAGTTTGAGGTGTGATATGGCTTTCTGATATTCCTGCAGCCCTTTGCCAAGGCAGTGAAGGGATAAAAACAAGAGAGATTAAGGAAGCCATATTTCAACTAAAGGTCAAACAAAACATTCAGAAAGAGGAAGCAAATAATCTGAAGTGGTAAGTGTTAGTTAACCACAGTAACAACACTGTGGTTTGCTTAACTAAGGCCTGTATGGATGATGTATGCGATATCCACTAGTGCATAATGCTGCCATTTCATGTCCTGGTGGGTTTGTTTTACAGCTAAGTTTCTGTTGCCTTACTTTCATTTTTTTTCTCTCCTGCCTAACAGCAGTGTCAGTAGTAATCCGTAGTAGTACCCAATGAGGCCTTTGATTGTGTTATGGTTGCATTCAGAAAGAAACCTGCTGAAAACCTTGTTCACCTGCCCTTGTTCTCACGTGTCTCATCTTGTGCCCTTAAGGGCAAAGGAAGCTTTTGTTATGGTTGTCAATAAATCAAGGCTAAAATGTATAATGGAGTGAACAGAATTGTACACAAATTGCAAAAGGTGTAAAGCAGAACATATAGTCGTGTGTGTAAGGACACCGTGGTTTCATTTGCAATCCACAGATCTGCTCTTATGCTGAATGTTATGGACCCCTAAACACCTTAGGAAGAGGAGAATAAGTCTGTTAGCCCTTAAGTAAAGCAAACTATGCATTAATTAAAGCATTTTTCATGCCTCCACTGTAAATGCAGGCAAGTTCATAAAGGCAAAGATCCAATCTCCATGGAATTTAAAAAAGAGATTATTGAAAACCGACAGAGGGAAGAAGAGCAATACAAGGTTAGTCTTTGCTGGTTTTGCTATAAATTTAAAATCAAACTTACACTTTCAGATTATGCAGTGCAGTAGTGAATTGTGTCAAGCTCTCTACATCTTCAGTTTTTCTTCATAAATCAATGCAAGCTTGTAGCAGCTCTACTTCTTGCTGCAGTTATATCTGTATTATGCCTATGTATCACTGTTTCTGAGGTGTTTTTATCTTGGAGGTAGACAGAGAGGATGATAAGTTATTAATGGAAATGTAATTAGGTATTTGCCCAACCTAGCAGATTTGCACCCAGCCACATCACAGTGCAACATTGCAGCGTAATCCTGTCAGCACCGTGGCCGTATCCAACCTTCTGTTTATATTGTACCTCTCTGAAGAGCTGAATGGCTCACAGTCAAAGTGTTAAACCCAGTCAGTACTCTTATGCAGAGCCATGGGGAGATAATTCATCAGGTTGTTCTTCTACACCTTCAGCCTCCCTCTTTTTGGTTTCTTCCAGTCACCCCAGACTGCAGGTCACCTTCCATGGAGGTGACAGCAGCAATACTTGGTTGCAGAAAATATTTGTCCCCATGTGGCAGAGCCCTCAGGGGCAGTGGGGCTTGTCCCTCTTATCCTGCCTCCTGGGTACTCAAGTAGCTTCAGGCGTCCCACTGACTTCCAAGGAGATGTTTGTGGGAGTAAAATTATTTATAGCTATGGTAAAGGCTTAATTTATACACTGAATTAGGCACTGTGGATTAATTAAAACATTGTATTTAATGCTAACAAAGGAGGAAGTTAGCAAAAAGAGGATCTAAATTGTAAGATTGTTGTATCACTGAATTAGATGTATGTTAACTTTGTTTAGAGACATTTATTTACTTACCTGTAGCCCATAGGGGCATGGAGATCTCTGGCTGGTTTCACAGTTGCCCCCATAAGTTCCTAACATAGGCATATTTTTGCTCATGCTGTCAGTTTGTTCACCTTTGGTGACATTAGGCCTCACAGGGTATTTACTGTCTCTCCGTCATTTGCTCAGGTGGCCACTATGTTATACAGACTGGGAGTGGCTGTCCTGGAGGCCTTTAACTGGTCTATCTTCCATTGTACTAACTAAAACCTCAGTCCATGAAAATAATGGGAATTTCACTCTGCAAAATAACCACAAGGTCTTTGTTTAAGAAATATGGTATCCTGGAAATGAAACAATAGGTAAGTGGGACTGAGATGGAAGAGGCACAATGAAAAGAAGCACTGGTATTCATCCAGCATGTCTGAACACTTTGAGAGGGTCTCAAAGAAGTGAAGTGATATCAGTAGTAAACTGTTTGACACATGAAGAATTTAAAGAGCTGGTACCGTTGGAAACCATGACACATGGTTCACAGAACATGGAAAGCTGCAGGAAATTCCTGTAGCACTGTCATCTGGGAAGATGTGTTTGGGTACTAACTTATGATGTTGGCTCTATAGCTCCTCTCTGGCAGATTCTGGCTATGCAAAGGAAACTGTT